TGTCGGCCTCAATCGCGTTGATCGCCGCGAACGCGCGGTCGGCCTCCGCTTCGAAAGAGCTGTTGGCCCCAAACATGTTTCGCATGTGTTCCATCGAGCGCGCCGTTGGCCTCGCTGTTGCTGATGGTCTTGCTCGTGCCGTTGGCCCCCCACTGGAAAGCGCGCGGGACTCGAGCCGGCCGCGGGCCTCGAGCGCGCTCGCGTCGCTGGCCTCCGCCTCGGGAAAACTTTTGGCCTCGAGCGCGCCGTCGGCTTCGAGCGTGCTCTTCGTCTCGCCCGTGCTTTTGGCCTTCGCCTTCAACAGGCTGCTCGCCTCGAGCGCGCAGTTGGCGTCGGGCGCGCTGTCGGCCTCGGACGCGCTGCGCGTCTCCGCCTCGGAAGGGCTGCGGGCCCTGAGCGCGCTGTTAGTCTCGAGCGTGCTGGTGGCCTCGACCGCGCCGATGGCCCCCGCCTCGGAAAAAAGGTTATTGGCCTCGAGCGCGCTTTTGGCATCGAGCGTGGAGCTGGCCCTGCTCGCGCTGATGGCCGCCCCCTCCTTGAGCGTGTACTTGGCCTCGCTCGTGCTGATTGCCTCCTCCTCGAAAAATCTGTTGGTCTCCAGCGTGCTGTTGGCCTCGAGAGTGCTGTTGGCCTCTGCCGCAAAAAACTGCAGGCCTCGAGTGTGCTGTTAGCGTTGAACGTGCTGATGGCTGATGGCCTCGCACATGCTTCCGGCCTCCGCTTCGACGGCGTTGTAAGCCTCGAGCGCGTTGCTGGCCTCGCTCGCGGCGTTGCCTCGAGCGCGCTGTTGGCCTCGCTCGCGCCGTCGGCCTCTGCCTCGAAAGTGCCGTTGGCCTCGACCGCGCCGTTTGCCTCGAGGTTGTTTTTGGCCTGCAGCGTACTGTTGGCCTCCGTATCGAACAACATTCGGGGTGGTGGGGTCGTTTCCCCGCTCCCGTCTTCCAGGTTTGCCCAGCTGCGCCTGGCGGCGGGTTTGCTGGGGGTGGTGGTGTTTTTTTTTTTCGTGTCTCCTCTTCGCCGGCCGTCGAAAGCGAAGCGGGCGTTTTCTGGCCCACGCCTGCAGCGCCCCCCCTGTCCTACAGCTCCCGCTTGGTGGTGCGCTGCGGCGGGTGGGGCGCGTTGCTGAGGCGCCCTCGCCCCTGCCCGCCCACCGGCCGCTTTTGCGGGCAATCTGGGAACGGTATGGGCACTTCTCCTACTTGCACCTGCTCCCAATATCTGCTGCGCCGCGCCCGCTCGGCGGCGCGCAAAAACTCTTTCGGGAGGGGGGGGGGGGGGGGCGAGAGAAAGAAACATTTCTCTGTTGCGTCTCGTCTGCATGTCCCTTTTTCTTGTTTTATTTCAGCGGTTCTTTGGTTGCGCCGCGCGGGCGTGCTGGGCCCGCGCGGGGGCAGAGTACTCGAGCGAGGGTGCGATTGCCTTGTCGCGCCCGATCCAGACGAGCTCCCGGAGGAAGATAGTGGTCCGATGGCGGGTTGGGCCGCATCGTGGCCTCTGGGGCGCGGGTCGCCTTGAGATTCCGGGGCGCGTCGCCCTTTGGGCGGCGGGGCGCCTCGCGATCCCACGGCGCGCAGTTCTGGCGACAAGGTCACACAATGACCCAGAACACTGCCTTGGCTAGGGTCGCGCCGCGATGCCCTTGAAACTGTTGGCTGATGGGTCGCATCGCAATCTTCTGGTGCGCCGCTGGGGCCATCGGATCACATTGTGATTGCGATTCCACGCGGCGATTGTCGGCCAAGCTATCATCGCGACCCCCTTGTGTTCTTTGGCCGACGGGTCGCGTTGCGATCCCATGGTGCGCCATTTTGGCTACAAGGCCTCATTGTGATCCCACGCAATACTTTTTGGCTAGGGCCGTTTCATGATCGATATATAATTCTATATATACATACATATCTATCTATGTATAAATGTATATATATATGTATGTATATACATATATTATCTGCTGGGCCGCACCCTCGACCCTCATCATTGTTTCAGTGGTGGCGTCGTGGGCAGTGGGCGGTACAAAAGCTGGTACAAAAGCTGTTGTGCTCGTCTGAAAATCGATTGCCAAGCAAACTTTGATCGAACGTTGTGGGCACGAACCGCTCGTCCACCATTGTGCCGGAGGCGGTGGTGTGGGCGGCGGTGGGGCAAACCGGATGCGCTTGCTCGGGCTCTGGCTTGATGCTACACGCCTTGAACCGCGCCCAAGATTACGCGGCTACGGATCCCTCCCTTCCGTTGCAGCCGGCCGGCCGTGCAGTCCGTCAGCGGAGAATCGTAGCAAGGGTCTGGACCTCGCCGGGGAGGGGCCGCGATGTCCGACCGCACGCGGTTTCACACGCGGCCTTGCGCGAGCATTTAATTTGTGTCCCTCAATATTTCTGGGGGTACCTGTAGTCCGGGGTGGGTACCTGTAGTCCGGGAAGGGGGGTGCCAGTAGTCCGGGGGGGGGACCTGTAGTCAGGGGAAGGGGTGCGGGTACCTGTAGTCCGGGGGTGGGGCCGCGCGGGGGTACCTGTAGTCTGGGGGGCTCGCGTGTTATTCGTCGAAGCACGCGTGGCTCCACGCGCACGGGTTTGGCCGCGCGGGTGTCTGCGCGCGCGGGACTGCACGCGCACTGTTACTCGTGCGCCTCTTTTTCTGTAGATGTCTCTTTCCTTTTGTCGTTATGTCCCTGTTTCGATGCCCGCTCGTACCTCGATAGTGCCCCATCTCGAACGCTGACCCAATGTGGGCGATGGGTGGCAATGTGCAGAGACATGCTTGGTGGGCCGCTTTGGCTCCGAAGGGATAGGGAATTGGCGGGGTCCTGTAGCTTCGGAGAGGATTTGTAGCGCCCAACGGGGGTACCTGTAGTCCGGGGGGGTGGTGCCTGTAGTTCGGGGAGGGGAACCGGGGGGTACCTGTAGTCCGGGGCTGTAGTCCGGGGGGGTGTACGGCAGGGGTACCTGTAGTCTTGGGGGTACCAGCAGTCTGGGGACCCGGAACTATTGAGGGACACGGAGTACGCAAGGGCGCGAGGCCGGCACTGTCTGGCCGCGGGAGTCCATCCCCGTCGGGGCGGTGCCCCCCTGGCCCCCCGAAGTCTTCTCCCTCCCAAGCCGTCCCCTCCAACCAGAGTGGCAGGGTCACGAATCTTGCGGGGAGGGCCTGTGTGGCCTTACCCTGCGTGGTTCTTACGCAGGCATTGGCGCGGGGGGGCAAGACGTCCGGACGATTCCCGCTCCGTTTTCGATACCAGGGCACACGGTGATGTCGGTCTACCAGTGCCGCTGCTGGGGATGAACGAAGTGCAGGTCCCAAGTTCAAGCCCACTCACGTCGTCCCAAGCTCATTCCTGTGAGTGGGGTGGGCCACATCGTGGTCCCAGTGTCCCCCCGGCCACATAGTGATGAGCCCATGGTGGGCCACATTGTGGTCCCTGGGGTACAGGGCCACCTTGCGATCCCTGGGTATGTTGCTCATTTGGCGGGCGGTTCACATCGCGATCCCATGGTGTGCCGTTTGGCTGTAGGTTCATATTGTGATCCCAAGCGCTGCCCCCTGGCCAGTCGCATCGCGATCCCTTGGTGGCATCTTTGACTGCTGGGTCACATTGCGATCCCCTCGCTGCGCCTTTCGGCTGGGGTCGCATCGTGATCCCCATTCGACTTTTGGCTGAGGGGTCGCATCGCGATCCCCGGATGCGGGTTCGGCTACAAGGTTACATTGTGATCCCATTGCGATGAATTCCCGCTGGGGCCGCATCGCGGTCCCCAGTTAGCTTTTTTGCGAAGGGGTCGCATCGCGATCCCTGGGAGCCGGCTTGGCTTCAGGTTCGTATTGTAATCCCCTCGCGATGTGGTTTCGCTGGGGCCGCATCGCGGTTTTTATTTGGCCTTTTGGATGAGGGGTCGCATCGCGATCCCTAGGTGCCGCTTTGGCTACAAGGCAACAGTGTGATCCCCTGCTTGTGCCGCATCGCGGTCCCCATTTAGCCTGCTGGCGGAGGGGTCGCATCGCGCGATCCCCGGGTGCTGGTTTGACTGTGGGGTCACATTGTGATCCCCTCGCAAACAAACCGGATGCGTTTGCTCGGGTTGTGGCTTGATGCTACACGCCCTGAACCCCGCCCAAGCCTACACGGCTACGGATCCCATCCTTCCGTTGCAGCCAGCCGGCCGTGCAGTCCGTCAGCGGAGAATCGTAGCAAGGGTCAGGACCTCGCCGGGGAGGGGCCGCGAAGCCCGACCTTATGCGGTTTCACACGCGACCGCACGGGGGCATTCACACAAGGGCGCGAGGCGGGCACTGTCTGGCCGCGGGGGTTCATCCTCGTTGGGGCGGTGCCCCCCTGGCCACCCCGAAGATTCATCCCTCCCAAGCCGTCCCCTCCAACCATAGTGGTAGGGTCACTAAGAGCAAAAACAATGTTGTTAGAATATAAACTGATGTGTCAAAACAAGACAGTCCCAGCCAGAAATGATCTAAGGACATTTCGTGGACACCACATAAGGTTCTTAGAACATTGTTTGGTAGGCCTATAGGCACGCCGGGACGCTTCGCCACTGCTTGACGCATCTCCGATGCACCAGCGATGCGGCGCGATCCTCCGACCCCATCTACTCCGACCCCATCTGGGAGGCCTCGACTTGAGCAGGCGAGGCTCCCGGCGGTAACCTGGTTGACGGTTTACCGCCGGCTCCCATTCTGGCGCGCTGGGGGGCTAGCTGGCAACAAAAATCTCGACGGAAGCTTTGTCTTCTTTTTTAACTTGTTTAAATTCGACTTCTCGAAATTTCAAAGGTCGCTAGAGCTCTAGTACTCCAGATTTCGTCATAAAGGGAGGGGGGTCTCATTTCGGGGGGGGGTCTCTTCCAGGCTATCTTGGAGGGCCTGGGGGGGTCCGGGGACGATGTGTTGGAGGGTTCTCCCACGGGGGGGGGTCTAAAATGGCTTGTCTTGGAGGGTCCAGACCCCCTCCCTTCCATTACGAAATCTTGAATATTTTTTCCCCTCCTCGAGGCCTCGCTCAGCCGCTCCGCCGCCGCCGCCCGCGGCTCCGGCGGCCGCCCCTGCGGCTGCCGCCCCGGCTGCTGCGGCTGCGGGCCCGGCTGCTCCGGCGGGGGCGGCCGCCCCCGCTGCGCCGGCTGCGGCCGCGGCTCCTGCGCCGCGGCGCGCGCGCGGTGCGTGTGTGCGTGCGGGTGTGTGTGCGTGTGTGTGTGTGTGTGTGTGTGTGTGGGTGTGGGTGTGTGTGTGTGTGTGTGTGTGTTTGTGTGTGGGTGTGGTGTGGGATGTGGATGTGGATGGATGTGGATGTGGATGTGGATTGGATTGGATGTGAATGTGTGTGTGTGTGAGTGTGTTGGGGGGGGGGGGGGGGGGGGGGGGGGGGGCGGCCTTCCCAGAAGGGAGGGGTGAGGGGGAGGGCGGGGGAGGGGAGGGGAGGGGGGGCGGACGGGGAGGGGAGGGGGCTCCTGAGAACCCTGAGATCCCTGGCGCTGCGATTTTCTTTCACAGCGGGCCTTTTCGGCGGGCTTCGGGCCCCGAGGCCCTCGCAGACCGATCCGGCTCGAGAAATCACGCAGCAAGGTTGGGTCTGGAACTCCAGTCCTGATTTTTCGCGATGTCGCAGCTTTTTCGCTACGTCGTCTCTCAGAGGAGGGGCCCGGGGTCTCCCGAGGCTTTTTCTGGGGGCGCCCTGGGCTTTCCCTAGAAGGACCCCGCCTTCCAACAAGGTTCCCGCCTCCTTCGGAGGCCACTTCCCCTCGCCCCCCCACCCGTGAGGGGGAACGATACGGAGGACGGGCGCGCATGGGGAGAAACATCGACCTGGGCCACATCGATGAGATGAGATGAGTGAGCGATCGCGCGGGCCGATGCGTCCCCCCCGAAACCATATTCTGGCAGCGCGCACAAGGGGGTGTAGGGGGGAAAACTCCTGAGACAGAGCCTGCTTCTTAGCCGGCATTGCCTCTGCAGATAAGGCCCGCGCCTTCTCAGAAGCAAAGGTGCTTCTGAGAAGCCCTCCCCCCTCCTGTCTGGGCGTGGCTGACCAGTGCCCACAGTGGTCCTCTCCGCATGGTTTTCGGGCCATAGCTCGGGTCTCTGGCGGCCGCCGTTCGGGACGATTCGGGCCCCCCCGGACGCACCTCAGCGAGGCGCCGCTGCTGGAGAGCACCTCGAGGCCAGAAAACGTTGTCCAGAGAACTGGCGAAGACACCCGAACTCCCTCACCCCCCCTTCTCATTTGAGGTGGAACGCTAGGGAGGGGGACCAGCTCAGCGAGGGAAACGTTGAGCTGGGATCGGCGATGCCTCGCCCTTAGATCGGCGATTGGTCCCTGACGGCGAGTCCGCGCGTCCCTGGGCGGGTGGGCTATCGAGCCGCTATCGGCGATGAATGGGCGATTGGGGGTCGCTGCGTCCCCCCTGAGCCGATTCCCCGCCCCCGTCGTTGCCATCCCTCCGTTGCTGCCCCGTCGACCTCCTTCTGCCACCGCGGCGCCGCCCGCGGCTGGAACTCCTCCCGCGCCCGCTGCTTCTGCTCCCGGGCCGGGAGGCGGCAGCCTCGGCCTCGGCCTGCATCTGCCGCACCACCTGCGGGAGGGCGGTTTCTTGGAGCCTTGGTTCAGCACGCCCCTCGCACAGCGCCCCCTCGGATCCCCGCAGGCCCGCAAGAGGTCTGAAGGCTCCTCATTTCGGCACACCCCTGTCGCAATTCGTGCCTCGTTGGCGCACCCGCAGGGTGGCCGCCGCCCCCACGCAGGCGAGGAGGCCCCTTTGGTGAGCGCACCCCACGGACGGAATGAATCGAGAAGGGCAAAGTATGCGCACGGCTGTTCCGAGAGCCCGACGTCTTCCCGCGAACATGCTTTTTATGTTGACGTGTTTCCGACGGCTCCGGAACCCAGACAGGGTTGCAGGAATCCGAACCCCCTTCTCCCCCACCGTCTCCATGGCTACGACTTTCTCGCCACGCGATGAATCTGAGGTGTCGGGTCCTCTCTCCCTCCCGCCCCCCCCCATTTTCCCAGGAGGCCCCCCAAAATCATCAGAATCGTAAATCTGGTCCGCGCTGATTCCCATCGACCGGCGCCGAACCGCCCCATCGTGCGAATCACTTCGCAGTCCACCGAACAGTGACAATCGGCGCTATCCTGTCTCCCTTGGAAGGAAAGGAATGCATTGGCAGCGTCTGTTGTGCATTGGGGGTGCTATTTCACGTGTCTGGTCGGTGTCCGGGTACTTGCAGCGAGCTCACCGTGTTGAGTGCAAGAGACAGAAGTCCCAACATCACATTCATTCTCTCTTCTAATAATCTTTTCTTTCAAAGAAATCTTTCAAGGGACCTCCAGAAGCTATTTCCTATCTCTTATTTTTAATAAAGGAAAAGGAAATAAAATGTTAGAAATTATGTCCGCTGGCGTTAATTACCCTGGTCGAGCATTTGAATTGAAAGAACTTATCAAATTCCTGGGCGCATGGGATACCGTTGGGAGTCTGGGAGGGAGTCCCGAAGGCACCACATGCTGCATTTTCATACGGGTTGCAGCCCCATGGACGGCCGAAAGGGCGACGCATGCTGTATTTTCATCGGTGTGGGGTATAGAGAGCTTGCGGCGGGATTGCTGGCTGCGGCTGAAGGTTAAATGTCTTTTCACTGGATCAAACCAGCGGGGCCGTGCACGCGCGGCATGCGAATTCCTCCTCAGCGCTACGCGCTTCGTCGATGCGGCGAACGCTGTGTGGGCAGGCTCGTTGAGCGCTCGGCCAAGCTCCAGGCGCTACGGACGTGGCAACGCCCGCGGCTTGCAGTTTAGGGTCTGCATTGGAGAAAGCGCGCGCTGGCTGCGATCCCCCCTCACCAAGAGTGTTTGGGCGGATCGCTGCCCGGGCCGCGCGCGCTCCGAACTTTGCATTCCCGCCCCAGACCACCCGCAGCGAAATCTTTTACGGCATCGGGCTTCTACACCCCACCCCCCTATCAAGGGGGCTGTCGTGTTCGGCGCGGAAGCAGACATGCTGTTGCGAGCAAGCCGAAGGGGGCCTGGGCAGTGCGCGTGCGTTTTAGTACGCGCGCGATGCGCTCTGCGCAGGCGCGCGAGCTCGCCTTCCCGAGCTGCTCGTCGTGGCCTTCGGCTTTGGTTTGCACCGCGGGGCTGCCGCATGCGCAGGAGTTCCCTGGGGCTGACAGCGATGGGCGCGGCAATCGCATTCGCCCTCGGCGTTGGGTCTCGCCGTTGCTATCGTGGCCGCTAAAGAGATTGCATTCAACGACGCAGCCGCCTTCGGCGCGAACTTCGCGTGGCTGGAGGGGGGGCGCCAGGAGTTGGGTCCGGCGCCCCCTCGCTACGATGCGCGGGCAGGGAGGGCTGCGGGAGAACCTGCACGGCGGGGGGGGCGCGGGGGAGCGCCCAGAGCGCTTGCGAGCGCCTGGGAGCCTCTGGGAGCGCTTGTGAGCGCCTAGAAGCGCTTGCGAGCGCTTCGGAGCGCTAGGGCCCCCCCCGGCCTCCTTGTCAAGGGTGGCTGTCGTGCTCAACGCGCAAGCAGACATGCTGTTGCGAGCAAGCCGAAGGGGCCCGGGCAGTGCGCGCGCGTGCTCGCCTTGCCGAGCTGCTCGTCCTGGCCTTCGACTTTGGGTTGCGCCGCGGGGCTGCCGCGGGCGCAAAGTCCACGGGGGCCGCCGGCGGTGCGCGCGGCAGTCTCGGTCGCCCACCGCTCGCGCGCTCGCGCGGAGCGCTTGTCGGGCCGCTTCGGGGGCGCCCCCGATCGCGCCAGCTCGCGCGGAGCGCCCAGCGGGCTGCTCCGGAAGCGCATGGGGGCGCCTGGGGGCGCTCGGAAGCGCCTCTGAGCGCCCGGCAGCGCCCGAGAGAGCGAGCGCTTTGGAACAGTTGGCAAGCGCCGGGGCGCGCGCGGCGCGGAAAGCGCGCATGTCAAAAGGAAGGACATGTGAAGGAATCGCCTTTTTCAGGCCCCGCGCCTGGGATCGCTTCGGGGCGCTTGAAAGCGGCTGGGAGCGCCTGGAGGTACCTGGGGGCGCGCGGGGGCTCCCGCGAGCGCCCGGCGGGGGAATCATGCATGTCCAAAACATGTAGAGGAACTGCCTTCTTCAGGCGCCGCGCCTGGGAGCGCTCGGGAGCGCTCGGGAGCGCTTGGCGGGAACGCCCGGGAGTGTTCGGGCTTGCCTGGGAGCGCTTCGGAGCGCCCGGGAGGCGTCGGAGAGCTTGGGGGCGTTGCAATGGCGCCATGCC